TCATCTAATAAATAAATACTCTTCTAATAATAATATCAATGCCTTAAGATTCTTTAGAATCGGAGTCCATAGAGTATATTTTGGTATTGGTTTAACGTAAGGGATTGGGAATGGTTCAATATATTTTTTATATTCTTTCTTAGGATAACCAGCTTCAAATTCCTTGTTAATATAAATAAATAAATATAAATATCCCTAGGAATAATGATAAAAAATATATAAATACTTACTATGACACTTATTTTTGTGATTGAACGAGAATTATTTGCTTGAATTGCTTTTCCTCCTATAGGTTTTTTTTTACGGGTGGGCTTTATTTGTTGTGAAAGGATTCTTTCATTTTCTTCAATTGACTTTTTAATTCTTTTTCGGCTTTCTTTTAGATCGACCTTTGAAAAATTCAATAATAATAACAACAAAAGATATAAAGAACGCGATTTTGGGATTTTTTTTAAAATACTTTTTCTTATTATATTAATCAACTAACTATTGAATCCTCGGCTTTCTTGGTGTATACCTCTTCTCTGATTTTAAGGTATTTCTCTGCAAGTTCATTCTGTGAAGGTTCTATTTTTTTGGAATTATTTTTTCTAGACATGATAATGATAACGAAATTGCTGAATATTACAAATTTCTGACGGGCGAATTGACGAATTTTTATAAGCGGTAGGACAGTGGGGTATTCGATATAAGTTGATTAACAAATCTAATTATGCGGATTTTTTATGGTGCCCCCTTTTTTCTCTAAAAAAGGAAACGGTGTAACAAAATATTTCTTCGTTAGTTTTATTAGTATTATATAGTATTATGAACTTTCAATTGCTAAGGCTTCTGGAAAATCGTTACATTTATAAAATCATTCGAGGTTTTTAATCAGGATGCATTTGTAGAACAGTGCTATGGAGAGAGAATCTTTATTTCATACAATTTTTTCGGAAGTTACAATAGATAGAAGTATTATGATAAAGAAGAAATTTTCTGTATTTTGAATGAACTTTTTTATGCCATTGGTATTTTTACATTGTGAGATCAAAATTCCACGTCTCACACAAATCTCTTGATTTGGTTAAGTTAGTATTTATTTCGTTTATCAGTATCCAACTATTCTCAAGTTTGTTTATTTACACACTTTGGTGTCTTGGCAGTTAATAGTGCTCTAGCTATTACTTCGTGAGAGGGTAAGTATGTCTGACTTCCCTTCCGGTAACGTTTTCTCAGCAGTTGCTATGTTTGCTGCCTGAGCCGGAACGTGTCAATTATTATCTCCTCTGATAATAATCCCAGTATCCTCCTTGATACCGATGTGTTGTGTTTATATAGATAGTTCAGTGTTTCTAACTGACCGCACCTAGCTAGGGGTTTCCTCATTTTAGGCGTTGGCCTAATCTAAAAATAAAGAAAATAAAATTAAAGAAATATATACAACTATACTTATCAAAGGCGTCCCCTGGTAAGATAGTAATTAATTTATTAGTTACAAAAATGTAATTTTCGAAGATAACAGACAAGGACAAGGTCAAGGTTTATTTATAATAATATTTGAGTTTACTAAAAAAACTAAAAAAACTAATAAACTTTTTAGTTAAAACTAAAGATTACATGAAAGAGAAATTTACAACATATTGTAAAATAGTAAATTATAAATCACGGGAAACGAACATATAAATCGGAAATGATTTACATGTATCACGAAGTGAAAA